CCCCTCCTCTTATAGCCGCCCAGTTTAATATGGCCCCCTTGGTATTATAGCCACTTCTTTCTGAACCAAACAAAAGTTCAGTCACTCTTTTTTTTCTTGTTTAATTTAAAGAATCCCTTTAATTCAGCCACCCAGTTAGTACAGCCAGATTTTTGTGGCCTGTTGGTGACCAGATTAACAGAGTTCTTTTGTAATTAATAGAAAAACAACAGAAGACCCCTTTTAATCCAGCAACCGAAGGCCTACAAAACTCTAACATTATCAATGAGTTGGCTGTATTAAAGGGGTTGAAAAAGACTGGCTGAGTTCTTGATGGGGCCATAAGAACAAGGTGGCCAAACGGCAGGGTTCCACTGTTCCACGGTTCCACTCTAGAGTATAAAATATTTGTTCAACTAAAAAACAAAATAGACATCATAATCAACACACCATGTCATCATGATCCATGGGACTCTCGGGCCCATTAAAAGTGGGGCTTCCAAGGTCCTGGAGGATTTCAAAAAAGAGAGAAAGAAAAAAAAATGACATTTCATTTATGTAGCACAACACATGGATTTACCACCTCTGGTGTCGATACCAGAAAGCTTGCAAGGATTGAATGGGTGCATGGAAAAAGACCCTTGGTGACATCCGATAGTCATAGACTGCAAAATTCTCCTAGAAAATTGCTTTTTGCTTCATTCTACAAAAAAGGATCTAATTTGACATGAAATCAAGAGTTACTTTCCACACATCACTTCAATTATACATGTAGAGCACCAGAATGTGCTTCAACAAAAACCACGATTATTTTAGTTCTATTGTTCCCCTCTTACCATCAGATACACATCTACCCTTTGATGCTGTAAAATTACACTCTTAATTGTTACTAATTATGTATGGGTGAAGAGCAAACACTGAATACCCCCACGCAGAGTGGGCAAATTGGCTGGTAAAACTGCCATTTTTCTGAGTCACAGAAATAATGTTGTCATCCTGGATTTGCCAGGATATTCAAGTTGAACAATATCCTACATGTACAGCAAGTCATTCTAGTTGAAGAAGTTCCTTTTCAAAACATTTTCACTTTATATTTATTACATATCTACCATATATTTGATCACTTACTGCATTTATAAGACTTTCTATGTCATGAAACAGTTTCCAGTTGACCAACAGGTTGTACCTCCTATGGATGGGAAATAGTCACAAAAGTAGAGCAAATATTAAAGAAATAAAGATGAAATAAATAAGAATTAAAAATCAAATATTAAACAATACAAAAATTACTGTTTAATCAACATATATAACATGATCCAATGGTTTTCACAGCTAATATTAAGCCTGATAGAAAGCTAAGAGAAAGTAAGAGAAGACTTTAATTTTGCAACATCACTACTGTAGTCTAGACTGTAGCTGAATATTGCAAACCAGAGGTTGCTTTCTATCCTTTAAAATTAAGCAAGCAAAAATACATAATTTCAACACCGTGTTTAATAACTTATCAATAAGTTAAGAGTGAAATGCATCTGTCCAATAATGAACAAACAGTGAATTAAAGGCAGTTCAACTTCATGTCAGTGTTTTTAACACTGTAGACACTAACTGACTAAATGTCACTTTTAAAAGGCAAAACCCTTACTGTACCTCAACAGATACAGTAGCATATTCCATAAAATTGCAGCTCCCAAAATAGCCAAAAAGGCATACAGTAGAGCTGAAGATGAAGAAAATATTAGAAATTATTACTAACTGTAGAAACCAATAAGGGGTTGAGTGAAGTACAACATGTTCAAAACTTTTGAATATTCAGTCCTACTTAGTACCATATTTGGAAGCTAGAAGAGTTGCCAAGTGCAAGTCAGCGGACTTTAAAATTTCGGTCTCACAGCTGGGATGAGTTACATTATAATTATTAAATTCTGATGTTTACACTGAAAATTCAAAAAGAGACTAAAATGAAATTTGTTCAGTGTTAAACCTATAACGAAGTTCTCTAAAAATTTGAGTGCTGATAAAATGGACAATTCCTGCTAAATTAAACATACCTTCTAAACATGTACACGAGTGAAACTCAAAATATTATAAACTGAGCACTTTCCAGTAAAAAAGTTTGTTTGTTTATTTATTTTCCCATTTATAAAATACAATAACAACATATCAATGTAAAAATTATAGGCAAGGAAGCCTAGGGAAGCCAAGGGAAGCCAAGGGAAGCCAATAAGGCTTAAATGTAAAGGACAGCCACCTTAAATACCCAAGTCTTAGCGAGAGAATAAATATGTTGTCATTGGTACACAAAATGATCATAAATTTAGGATAAAAAGTAGTTGAACAAATCTAAACGTACAAATGCGCAAAAGCAAAAGAAGGGGAACAAAGCGAAAAAAGCACGCACAAGCATACTAAGAGAAGTAAACTATACCAGTACTTATACCAAGAAAGATGACTTAAGTTTAGACTGAGGTGAACATAGCAACACTGGAGGCATTTTAAATTTCAGTGCTGAGAGGATAAATAATTTGGGGCCTTGAAAACAGAGGGAGAATTTCTTTACATTTTCTCTACAATAGGGCAACAGTTCGGGAAAAAGTTAGCTGCCTGAGTTAATTAAATATTATTGAAAGAAAGGTTCTAAATTATACTGCCTACACGTATACATGAATAAGAGGTAGCCAATTGAGTGTACGCAAGCTGTTTAATCAAAGAGTTTTTCTTGAGATTTTCGAAATATATCATAGCACTTAACAAAATAACCCCTTTTGAGTTTCTGATTACAATCATTATAATTGATTAAATGGGATAACATATTATTAATAATACATGTAATTAAAAATAGATTACATTTGCTTAAAAAATAAATAAGCTTTTACTCACGCCAGTAGACATTACTGTCTGGTTCTTCATTAGTTACCAGTTTACAGGATATATTTCCTTTAACAGCATGAATCTTATAAGAATACAAGCCATGTTCTTCAAAACTGTACTGTGCTGGGCTACAAAACAAAAATGTTTACTGGGTACTTAAACAAGCTCAAATCACATCTGGAAAAAAAAATGTAACAAAGTGGTTGTAATAAAAGTGGTTTCCTACAATTTGAGAGAAATTTTACTTGAATATCAGGAAAATGACAACATACCAACACCATACACTGTATCTTAATTCTCTCCACCCCTGATAAATGCTGAGTTCAAATGAATGAAAACAGAGTCTGCAAATCCTAGTTTTAAAAAAAATTGCCCCTGGCAGTTTTTCAAGATATCACCATATAATGTGAAGAGCAGCATTTATTTAAACCCAGCCTCATGTGACTGATTCCAATAATTAGCAAGGTGAACCAACAATGGGTGACAAAAGTACATGTGGTTGAGACAGTTGACTGAATCGAGTGCTAATTGTAATTTTTCATTTATTGCATTTCAAATCCAGTTTACACTGACAGCCACCTGCCCCCCATCCCCCCACCCCTCCACCTCCCTCCCCCTACCCTTTTCAATGTTGTACAGGAAAGAGGCAAGTTCTAGAGACAGGAAATCCAACATTGTTTTGGGGGTAGGGGGTTTTATCTTAGAGTTGAGGGTGGAAATTTGTCTTAAGTACTCCAAAATAGCAAAGCGTCTCAACAATATTGTCGCCCATCGAGGCTTCCAAATTAATTAAACAACTGCTGGTTCCACAAGCCTGATTTTAATCAATAAAATACTACGCAATGGAACCCAGTTAATATTACCAGAAGCTAAGGGACATACAAAAGTGTCTGTAATAAGCAGGAGTCTTTAGGAAGTAGATAATTATCTATAAAGTTAGGTTCTACTTGCACTGCTAGTTAAAATAAACCCCTTCTAGTCATATTCATTGTTTTTAGAACAAACTACTTCTAACATAAATTTCGATTGTTAACTATTACATGCCATTAACTTAAGTGATCAACTTCCCTGTTCATCAGAATCTACTCAAGATAGATAACAACAGCACCTTTTCATATCACACCTGTCCTGTGCAAACTTCTGTCATCTGTCATGTACAAACTTTCAAGAATCAATTTATGTAGAAAAAATAATGCTTAGTTTAATACTGTAAGTTGTACTTACGGGCATACTATTTTGTTTGTTACGGCATTATAGACAGCCAGTGTGAAACTAAAATTGGTTGGTACTGTTATGTTATATGTAAATCCATGTGGCGCTGTCAAATTTTCTTTTTTAAGCTGAAGACCACACTACATGGGGAAAATAAAAGAAATCCAATTAATATATTGCTCATGGCCTGCAAGAGCTTCTCACTTGAAAATGATCGTCAAGAATGTCTGGTTCATGAACGACTTGACGGAGATACGGATGGATGGGTAGCAATTTGAAAAAGTTTTTAAAAAGTACAGCGGTAGAAAGCAAAAACTGCACATCAGGTACTGTAGCTACCAGACATTTCAGTGTTCACTATGATGTCATTAATTCCTGAGACAGTATGAAGCAAATTTAGCTGAATGTGCTTGTCACATTACATTGTAGACTGCGAATTTTGCTGGTTGCCAGCAGATGGACTGAATGTCAGTCTGCCAGTGACTGACAGTCTGTTTAACTGCCTGACTGGCTGACCAAATTTTACTAACTCATGACTGAATACCCATCTGTCTGACCACAGAGGGACAGACAGAGAGTGGTATGGGCAGACTGACATATGGGCAAACAGACAGACAGACAGACAGAGAAGTCTACCTGCCTGTGTCTGTCAGCCTGGGTTGTGTTCTGTCTGTCTCTCTGACTGGTCAGTTGATTGTGTGATGAACATTAGTGTAACTGACTGACTAACACACTAACTGTCTGATCACTGACTGACTGACTATCTACATGTATCTATCTATCTCTATTCCATCTATCTGCCTGAATCTGTCTGTCTCTCTTTTTACTAGATCACAGATTCACTGGCTTAATCAGTACCTGAGTCCCTAACTGCTTCATTGACCCTGTTTATATTTACAATACCTTGTGACAGTTGCTTGAGACACCAAACACATTGACTGGATTTTTCACATTAGAGATTAGCAATACCAAGGCTGTGTCCATTGGTAATGATTTTGGGTCATCACACTTGTGTTTGTCACATTGTGCACTCTGACTACCAAGACCTAATGTACATGATATACAGTCAGTGTCAGAAAGTCAGTAATCATAGCATAGTACAGTGTGGAGCTGGGACCTCTCCCAGCTGAATCTGTGGCTAGTACCCCAAGACAAGAGCCAAGAGACGAGGGCATGCACAGAAAGATTTTTTCAAAACTGTGGCCATGCCTGATCACGCATTCAAACGTGCTTTGAAGCGAGTTTCCTTTACATGCGGCTTCATACGCTAATCATTTATGACATTGTGCGTGTAAGTGTTATGTTTTCAATGCTGTTTTTGCATTCGCTTTCACACCTCTAGAGTCCTCTCAAACTTATTACATGTAATAAGCAATGATTAAATAGTGTTTTGCTATCATTAGTCTTAAATTATAAAAGGCCTAACAAATGTGTTTTTTTACTGTTTTTATGGCTTTATTTGTGATTTTCATGAATTTCCTTCGGTGAAATCTTCCAAAATTTTTACATCACATCGCTTCCTGTGGGATACGAATTTTAAACATGAAAAAAGTGGGGTTTGTAAAGGCAGTTTTTTCGACATTGTCAAATTTATGTCTTTTACCGCTGCAAAAAATCAGGTCTTATAGATTTCCCTGAAAAATGAGCTCCGACTACTACCAATCTGCCAAATTTTATGGAATTTCACCGAAGGAAACGCAAGAAAATTCACTGTCAGTTTTGCTTTTTGTGCTCTGTTGACGTCATAAAACATCAAAAAACACTGGCGTTTTCCTTTGAGTGCGTGCAGATTACTTCCTCAGCCCTCGTGCGATCGTAAAACTATAGAGAAGCCACCTTAAGTCAGTGTGCCTAATGGGCTTTGTCTGCAAGATATCTGGGAACAAGATAATCTGTCAACATCAACAGACACCAACATGGCCACCACTTCATTGTTCTGGGACACTAATATGGCTGTCCTGACATCATGCAAANGGGTTTGTAAAGGCAGGTTTTTCGATATTTTCAAATTTATGTCTTTTACCGCTGCAAAAAATCTGGTCTTGTAGATTTCCCTGATAAATGAGCTCCGACTAAAATAAAATATTTACTACCAATCTGCCAAAATATAACGGAATTTCACCGAGGGAAACGTGAGAAAATTCACTGTCAGTTTTGCTTTTTGTGCTCATGTTGACGTAATAAAATATCGAAAAACACTGACGTTTTCCTTTGAGCGCGCGCAGATCACTTCCTCAGCACTCGTGCGATCGTTAAACTATAGGGAACCACCTTAAATTAGAAACCCGTTGAAAACTTGCTAAATGTTGCGCGTGCAAATTTCTTGCAGAAGCGCGCGCCGCTTCAAGTGTCGTACATCGCGCGAGCACAACTTAACTGCTGTAGCTACACACAATTACAATTCATGCTAACGGGATTGGCTAACCTGTTTAAAAAGCCAACGGAAAGTTGATATAAAGCTGTCAAAAATAAGTCAAAACCATAAAAAACTTAGCGAGTGACAAAATTTCGCTTCATGCTTCAATAAAATGTCGGCGTCGTT